CTTCCTTTAGATTCTTCTCTGTCTTTAGACAAATTGCAGCTAAAAAATAAAGTTGGTTCTTGATTTAACACCATTCAAGAAGTATACTTAAGGATTTCTGTGTTGGAACCAATTATGACTAACACTTCAACCTTCCTATTTGAACAGCCATACAACTGATATCATATTTGATTATACTGTCACAGATCATAAATAGTATATTATTAGGGCTGTGACTAACTTAGAAAATAATTTCAGAACTAATTTTGCCCTTAAGCTAATGTATTGTGAAATATATTAATTTTATTAAGGATTTCTTTGGAAGTGATCCAAGGCTTCCTCTTCAGTAGACAACTAATAACTGTTGGGGTAAAATTTCCAAAGCGTCTGCCTATGTTGGGGCTGATGACATTTGTAATGCTTCACTCGATGAATATCCTGTTGTAGCAAAGTAAAACAAATACTTCCTGAAGGCTGCCTGTTGTTGCTTTATGTCTACAAGCTTAAGGGAACCCTAGTAATTCTCAAAGATGTTTCACTCTATATGATCTAGAAACGATGCTCAGTGATTGTAATATGGAATGCCTACCAGTTCAGCACAGGGTGGCTACAACATCAGATCCTATAAGTTTAGGAACGTGAAAGGGAGATGGCATGTTTGACTCTCTAGAGGGTCTAGGATTTACCAAAAAAACTCCCAACAAACCAAAAAAAAACCCAAACCTACAGTCATAGTGAACGTTTCTACCTGCAGATGCTGCAAGAGACAGCTCACATCATACTATGCAACATCAAATAAGACAAAAGGACTTTACAAGACAAGTAAGCTAATTATTTTCGATACATTTGCAACACACAGTAAAATGCCAACATCGAAATTCTTTATGTGAGAAATCTGAAATAGGGCTGGTCAGCACTTATGCGTTGATAGCTCAGCCTGAATAAGAGGCAGAGGTATTCAGAACATCAGAAGAATGCGAAGACACAAGTCACATTCTGCTTTAAAAAAATAGAGGTCAGTTTCAGGACAGAAAGTACTTTTTCCCAAACTGACAAAACTTTTGAATACAAAAAATTGTCTTCTTTTAAATCATGACCAACAAATGGTGCAACCACTATACCTGCAAACAGCATCTCAGAGTGTCAAAGGTACAAATAGCAACATACGAATCAAAGCGAAAGAGATCCACTGTGCTTCAGCTATCTGTCTTCTCATGTTTGATCATATTCCAGACTTAAGGTTTCAAATGCTGCTTAGGAGCTTGAGAAATCCGATTTGCACCCTTATGAATATACTCAGGCAGACATGTTTCAGAATGAGGCCCTTAAAATACAAACATTTTGGATTCTACACTGAGAACAACACAAAAATAGCACAATAGGTACTAAAAATAGCAGATAGCTGGAGAAAGAAGTTTGGATTATATTTGCGTTTGTAGAACATGGTGCTATTCTATATTCATAGCAAATGTATCATTCTAATTTTCAATCAATATTCCATTACTTTCTAGGCTAATACCTAATTGATAATAAGGGTAAAATTATTATGGTAGATTTGGTTATTTACTTTTCTTAACCACTTGTAAAATAGGAAAATACCAAATGTATTTATTATTCACTTAATTGCAATTTTATTTTGCATATAAATTTCCATAAGCTAGCATTTTTCAATAAATTGTCATTATTTATTTTCTCCTGATTTTGGTCCTTGTTTTTCACACTCAAAGGGAAAAAATTCTATAGTTGAAGGGAGATGTAAGGATTTATATATGACACTCAAAATATTAAAATTTTTAGTAATTATACTCAATGTAGCATTAAAATCATGTAATCATGTATTTGCATTTTTAAGTTTTACAACAGCCAACTTAAAAAAAATCTACACTGATCATTATAAAATCATCATATAATATTTTGCTCCTTTATGTATTACTTATGCTTTGGAGCATCAAAGGTATATAACCATCTTTTTTTACAGAGTTATTGGAGATGAGTAAAAAGTGAATTGAACTAAGGTAGAGGTAATTTTTTTTTTTTAAATGATATGATTTGCAAAATAGTAAAGTATGCTAGATACCATATGACAGACATGGTAGATATGTGATTTATATCGTGACTAAAAGGAGACTACACTGCCCGATAGGATTGAAATACAGAATTTTGCCTTTGTTCACATAATAACACCATTTCCTTTTTCTGTACCCACAGAAATTGGAATGAATAGAGCGAACTAAGACAGCTACATTTATCTAAGATGTTAAAATAGAATCTTTGCACTTTCTTCTGAGCAGAAACTATTTCAAGTATTATGATTATTCAAGGAAAATAAAAGCAAACACTAGTCATCATCATTATAAGTAGGCTACCATGGACAGGTTGTGATTCTACTATCTCTTCAACTGTACCTTTAAGGAAAAGACAGGTAAGCAAATTTTTCAGGGGGATTAAAATAAGAGTAGATCGACTAAAGAGACAAGGACACTCAATAGTCTATTATTTTCACACTGAAAGAAGGTTCTTATACAGTAAAAAGGAGTATCTTGAGAAGAAGTATGTTCTTAACCCAAACTTTTTAGTAAAAAAACCCAACACAGTAGTATAATTTCTTGAAGATTATTAATTCCTTTGTAGCTTTTCACATCACACCAGTTCAAAGAGAAACTCTAGATCACTAAAACTGCAAAATTTTTATAAGCATGTGTATTTCGGACCAGTTTTGTCACTTTTCAGTACTAGTATTTGAGAGATATGCTTAATTTTGGCTCACAGAACTGCATTTCTTTCATTTAAATAAGCTAATGTTAAATTTCCCTTTTCACTCATCCAGCTATTCTCGTTCTGCTTACTGATGTTGCATTTAACATTCTGATGTAAAACATTTGATGAAAACACAACAAGTTTCAGCCACAGTTTGATGGCAGCTAGATTTCTTGAGAAATTTAAGATTCTCAAGTTTAGTGGGAGCTGGTGAGAGCAAAGGAAGTCTTCATGCACTGTTCCCTTTGGGTTTGTACCAAAACATTCATTTAAAGGCCCTACAGCTTCATATCTACAGAATTTCAAACTTTGAAAAGGTGATACGGCTTTTCAGATGTCCTCAAGTATCTTTCTTTGCTGCTTTGAATTTTTGGCTGAGTACAACTCATTCTCCTAACTGTTAGTATATGGGTACAGTTGTTTACATGCTCCCCAAGTTGGCTTCCCATCCTAGTAAATAAACTGAAATTGTGAATTTGAGGGATTTATTATTCATAGTGATTCTTTCTTGGAACGTTGTAACACGCTCACCTAGAGAGAGAACAGGAAGAGGTGGTATCGGCTATCTCAGATTTATGATCATCCCTTACATTTAGAAGGAAAACAGCAAAACGAAGGTCTGTGTTACAAAGACTTAAGCCATCTTTGGTCTTAGAGTCTCAGCTTTGTAAAGTGTGGGGTACACAACATAGTAGACATAGAGGCTGCAACTTTAATACCGTTACCCAGTCAGCAGACAGTCCAAAACTAACTGGAGGCTGTTCTAGTACACAGCTCAATAGAGATATGGCTTCAGAGAAAAAGTGAAAACAGAGTGCGAAGACCTTTCCCACCACGTCTTTAGCTCTGGAAGTATCCAAATGCTATGTACTTAAAATGAAGATTGGAAAGAGGTCAGCACTTGACAACTTACTCAAAACAGAATAACAACTTTTCTTCAAAATTTCTGTGTTTTGAAGGGTTGTGGGTTGTAGGTTATGACACAGTGAGCTCCATCAAGAGAAATGCAGTACACAGTAATGAACATCAGATCTTGAACTCTTTTTTCAGAACAAAGTATCAAATGATACCTTACGCCCCATGCCTCTCCAAAATGACTATGAAAAACAAAACTACATCAAAAGAATGTAAGACCTTTACATTCCCTGCCCAGAACTGGGCAAGTACAATACAAAGTCCTACAACACTAGCACAATAAAAACATTTTCAGTTACTGAACAGACTTCCCGAACCTTCAGGAAATGAAATGTAGGACATGTGAGATTATAGTTGTTTAGATAAACTACCAGACATAAGATGTGTTTTCTTAACTGGAGAGAGAAAAAAAAGAAAAAAAAAAAAATTAGGAAGACCTTGTTAGCATTATCTTGTTACTCCTTTATGCTCCTTTACATTTCTGCAAAAGGTCTGCATGAAAAGTGAGCACTTTCCCTCCAGGTGCCTCTGTGCAATCACAATAATATTAAGGTTTTTTCCTCCAAAGAGGATAGAACTTCTCCTAAAAATAATCTTTTGGGAAATAAATGTGGGACAGTCTACAGCATATTGTTTATATTAGATTTAAAAGAAGGTGTTCATTTTTATAACGTGTTTTGGGGTTTTTTGTTGAAGTTAATTTTATTACCAGTTGGCAGTCAAGTGAACTGTCTCCTTTAATAAACCTACAGGTTCATTAATCCAACGAGATTAAACAGTTCACACATAGTGAAAGGTAAAGAACATATATAATTTTTAAAAGGAGAGAAAATAAATCAAGATTTGTTGCTGTAACTTATTATTATCATTTCTTTCTCCAAATGATATTTAACTGTTGGCCTAGCCTCGCACTCAAATATCTTGAACTGATATTTTTTTCTGACATTATACAATGAAAGATTAATATGCAACTCTGGAAAAGTAAGGTATAGAAAAGAATATTCCTTTAAACAGTCCCTTTTCCATGAATGAAACAAAATCTTGCCATGTTGTTCTGATAGCAGATCCAGTTGTTTGTTTCACTAAATGCTTGAAAAACAGAAATAACATCTACTTTAAATACTCCATGTTCCTATTCAAAACATTATAATCACATGTTTTGGGAGGAAAAGTAAATTCCACAAAAATAAATATTTCAGACATATTTCCTAAAAAAAACCCTACAAATGTATTTTAAATTCAATTTGATCAGACAATTACAAGTAGCTTTGAGATTGCACAGTCGTTTATATACTCACAGTGTTTTACGAGACAGCAAATAAGCATTTCACAACCTAGAAGGTTCATACCTGAAATGGCTTAGAGCTGCTGATGTAGAGTGTCTGTCTGATCCATCTGTTTCCTTGATTTCCAAACTCGTACCACAATGGCCATCCCTTGGTGTTACTCACAGTTCTCTGAAACACTGACAGCTTGTAAACTTGCTTTCCAAACATGTGATAATGAAAGCGGAAAACGCAGATTCCATTGCCAGAAGGGTTGAGGAGAGGACTGAGCAAAACTGCTTTATCTTGGAATTGATGTGGCTCAGAGGATTCCATGTAGAGGTAGTGTCCCCTGGCCGTGCCTGTCGTGTGATCCTTCAACGGGCCTGTATTAACCGTGGGGGTTGGACCCTGTATTCTGATCCAGTCAAACTCATCCTCAACATCCTGCGCCCAATTGCACAGCCCATTTTCAAAGTCACACTGTAGGTCAGGATCTGAAATGTAGACAGAATAAACTGTCAAGTGAAAGCAGAATCAAAAGGTGATCGTACTTCAATATACTTTCATGAACTTTCTAACATAATTAAAAAACAAAAAAATCTTTGTCTCCTTGCAAAAATTTCTTTCTAATACAGAAAAAAACACTTATTGTCTTCTCCTTGCAAATACTCACCTCTGAAGAACAAATATACACTTAACCGGACCAAAAAAAAGAAAAAAAAAAATCTTTATTTAATTACCTCCTCTTTCAATATGTATCTGGCAAACTGTACATAATTAATTTATCGAATAAACATAACTGTGAAGAATATTTTATTATTCATATGCATTAAATATGAATATATACATTAGATTTATGTATTTTTATAATTAAAGCATGCAATGTTCTTTAACTGAAATTTAACTGAGTAAAGGATTTAAAACAGGTTAATTGAATGAAATAAACAACAAGATGTAAACTTATAGGTATGGTAATAAGTGACCTAATATGTTTTTGCATAACAGAATTAGTTCTAAAAATAGGTTGAGTTTTATATCTTTATTATACTCAATAATAGTAGCTTGATAGCTTTATCAAAGCTAAATTCAAGAGACGCATTTATGACACAACTGTACTTTATTATTTGACACCAAGGCAAAATATATTGATTAGACTAGTTATGTCTAATGTAAAAAAGTAAAAGGTATATCAGAGGTGGAGAACTTGCATTTTATCTTTGCCTCTGCTCTTCATAAACAGTAAATAACATAACAGCCATTTTTTTTTAATGAAACTGTTATTTTTTATGATATTTAAAACTGTAAGTCATACAGTACTTCCTTACTACAGAGCTGAAAATGAGTTGTAAACAAGATAGACATTTTACAAGTGTGAAAACTGAGATAGGCTAGAAAAAGTTCACTTTCTTTTAAATTCAAATCAGTTAAGTTGATATTCAGCAAATATCAGTGTAAGCTGGTATCCCCTCAAGCATGTAAGATGTCCCATGTTTCTCAAACTCATTGTGATTTACATAATTTAGTTACCTCAGGATGTAAGAGCAACCGCTAGTTAATTTTATTTTATATTAATGTTTTTTCTGAGTCCTTAAAATTGATGAATGCATGCTTTGGGGAGAAAATCATCAACAGCACCATTCAGCCCTGCAAGGTGACTGTCAAAAATGTGAACGACCCATAACTTTCCTCAGTCCTTATAAGTTCTTTTGAAAGGGACCAGCACAATTAATATCTTCTAGTTCAGATAGTTTAACTTTTTCTAGGTAGAAGGAGTTACAGGCCATAAAAAGAGATAGGACACACACTCCTCTCAGACCGTATATGTCGTCCACTGTACTACCATCAAAGACAGCATGTTAACCCAAATCAACTGGCAGACTATGAATTCTCTTTTAAAATAAACTTGTCACGCCTGTGCGTGTTTTACAAAAGTTAAAGAAATATTACTTGTTTGAATAAAGGAGACTGAATTACATTTACCCTCAGTTTCAAGTCATCAAGTGTACTTAAGTAACAAATTTTCAGAGTCTGTCTCATCAGTAACGATATTCAGTTGACTTCTCACTGACTGTGACATTATTAGACTGTAACAGTACTATGCTTTTTTAGTTCAGGGATTAGTTTGGCAAGTGAATTTTGGGTTGATGTAAAGTAAACAATAACAGAAAGGACTTACTACAGTTGTCTTCATCTGATCCATCCCCACAGTTATCCACAAGATCACAGACCAATAAACTATCAATACATGCTTTTGTGTCTCTGCACCAGAAACGATCAGGACCTTCACAACTTAATGCTGGAGGTGGAAGAGCACAGTTTTCAAATGTAATATCATCAATTGCTGAGACACCATCATAAACACCCAGACTGATTTTATCAAGTGACAATTGGAAAGGATGTGCAAGGCGTCCAAGCTGAATGACTGTCTTCAACCACTGATTTCCCTCATTGTAATATGTCCTCCAAAGGACCGTAGGCTGTTTCAACCCATCCACAAGCAATTGCATCTCTGCTGCTCCAACAGACCATCCATAATTGTAATACCTAAAATGATAACAAAAAAGTTAAGGGTGCAAACGATGAGAATAGACCATGTCAAGTATAATAGTCAATATCTTTTCTGCCATAAGTCTATGAAATATACATAGTCCGTAATGCCTATTTCCAGTTTACTTGTAATTCAATCCACTTTCTGTATGATGGTAGGGCAGGTTGCTGTATCGGTCTAAGGCTTATTTCAATATTTGAAGATTATGAGAGAAGCAGCACACTTCTTAAATTAAAACACATATCTTAGGAGACACATTTTCTTTCATATTATGCAATGAACACTGCTCATTCGGATGTATGATATATTTTTTAGAAATTTAATTCAATACATAATTGTAAAGTTTCAAGAAGGAAAAACACACCTATCTATGTTAGTTATTGCTAACATGTTGCATTTTTACAGTCTTTCTTGAGGATCTCAAAGCATTGAAAAATCATGTATACATAGGTGAGCAATCATACAACAAAACTGAGAACCAGAACAGAACCAACAAGCTGTAATTTCCAGACCTACACTCCAACTTCTAGTCTTGAGCCTTTGATAAAAAGGCATTTTCCTCTTCCTTTGGCAGATGTATTTGACATTAGTGAGAAAAACCATGCTTAATAATATCCAAGTCAGGCCAAACATTTATTTAAACAGTAGCACCACTTTTGACCTTAGTACATAGGTTATCACAGTTTACTTTTTCTGTCCCTCTTTAGCAAGACTGCACAGACTGAGACAAGACAATAACCGAAAAGGTGGGGTTTTTTGCTGTGCGTACAAAAAAAGAAGGATTGGAAGCAAAGCTCCAATTCCTGCACTGGAGCTTTTGCTTCAAAACGATACAGTATAATTTTGGATACTATAGATGACTCAAGGAGCTACCAGATTTTTGGGTGTTTTCCTGTTCTTGAACAAAATTGCATAACATTTTCAAATTTGCTTAATGAAAGCAGAAATGTTAGCAAAATGACTGTGGTATTTGTCTGTGTACATGCAGCCACAATCTTTTAAAATAATTTTTCTCACAGCCTGACAGCAAGGTCACCCTATGTTTCAGTTCTGTTCTCCAAGTGCTTCAGCTTATTTCTGCATATTGTTCACAATGAAGACTATATGATTAAAGAATAAAAAGAAATAAATATTGAAGAGGAAGGTATGTCTATTGTAAAAAATAAACTCAATTTCAGTCCAAGAGAAGCAATGCGAGATGGTCCAGGAATTTGAAATCTAAATTGTTTCATACCAAAAGGACAATGTGCAATTTGATCCTGTTTGCATGAACTTTGGGCTTCGTAGCCGAGCTACTTGTGAAATGCTGCTGCTGTTTTTCAGGATGAACATAAAATGACCTATCAAAATAAAACAGAAGACAACTTTTCAGACTGAAGAAAGAAAGTGTTTCTAAAGGTTTTTAAAGCATTCGTGACCTCCACTTTAAATCTGACTAAAGAATAGGTTTATCTGTACCACTTCTCTGTTTCTAGGCCTGACTAGTCTTACCTTCAGATTTGTTGTAGGTATGATCCTGCGGAGGAGCTTGCTTCTGAAAAGCAGGTGCAAGAGCACTACTGGAACCTCTTACCCAGCCAAATTCATCTCCATTTGCAGTTTCAGTCCACCCACAGCTCTCTTTTTCAAAGTCACATACAGCAGCTGAAATGAGGAAAGAGACATTTCACATCATCTCTGTACATGACATCACTAAACAAGATCTGTGGTATGAAGAGGAAATAAAATGTTTCTCATATGCCACTTCTTCTATGTCCATTCTTCTATGGAAGATGTTTAGGAAAGGGGCATGAGAAGCCAGAGTACAAGATTGAGTATTTGTTTCCTAACAGTTAGGTTAAATAGCAGTCCCCTAGGAACAACCCAGCCATCATTATATCCAATGCACTCAGTAAAACCAGTCCTTTCCAAAGCCACTGCAGTCAAACACACAAAGCAGGCGGGGAGGCGCTGACAACAGCCTCACAATCCTCATGCTACAGAACAGGACCACGGAGCACACAAAGCAGTAACAAGGCTTCTGCAAGATCTTTTAAGGAATCAATGTTAGAGCCAGAAATAAAATCCCTGATTTCCTGAATCTCAGCAAGTATGCTAATGATACCAAAACCTTTCCTCTAGTTATAACAGGAACAAAGTTAAATATCAGGCGTTACATAATCGCTATGATATTGGTAGAATGAGGAATTTTCTGAAACACAAACTACTGCAGTGAAAAAGATTTGAATAACATATTCAACAGCATTTCTCAATTCTTCATTTAAAAGAGGAGTGATATTTTAGAAAATGTGTATAATACAAAATAAAGGAAAGGAAGGAGTAAAAGGGTGTCATGTATGAACGAATATAAACTGACAAATATTTATTATGCTAAAACAGAGAAACATCAGGTTTTTCACTTCTGCAGTTTAGAAAATCCTAGTCAAATCATATGATACTTTTGAGTTCTGCAATTATAACAGATCTTTAATGGAAACCATTAAGAAAATGATTTCAAGAATTTTTAAGCAATAAATTATATACATAAAATAAGTAATCAAATATTCAGACATTACTGTCAGAATTCCACCATTATTTATAATGATTTATCACAACTTCCAGTAACCATATCATAATGGTATAGAAAATGTACATTTCAGAATCAAATGAATTCTCTTGGAAAACAGGATGACATAAATGTTTATTGATGGATGATATGGGAGGTTCTTTGGGGTTTTTGTTGTTGGTTTGGGTTTTTGTCTTTTTTTTCTTCTTTAAGGTCTGTGTCATTTTAAGTTATACATCATTTGTTAGAAGGAATGAAAAAATATTAACCAGGCAAGTTAGTATTATTGTTATTTAGGGCTTCTCAGAAGACAAGATTTTGTGGATTATTAAACAAAGCACATAGAAACTCAGAGTTATCAACGCTGCTTAAAAACAAACAAAAACAAACAAAAAAAAACATTCCACAAATATGGAAGGCCAAGTAACATTTAAGAGATCAAGGAAAATATGAGTTTGCTATACGTATGGTGTATGTGGGTCAGAAACGTCAATGATAAAATGATGTAGATCAAATTTGACAAAAAAAAACAGAATGAAGAAATGTTTAAATAAGATGTTTTGATAGAATAAAACAAAGATAAAAAATATGTACAAACATTCAAGGACCTAGGCATAATGGAAATGACTGAGAATCCACAGATCAACCATAACAGTAAGGTAATATGGAGAGCTATTTCTGATTTGCTTTTCGCTCAATGGAAAAAAATGTGCCATATTCCCAGGAGAAAAGCAACAAAGAATTTGACAAACCTTGGACACAGATGGTTACACCAAAAGAGGCAGATAAACAAGACAAAACTGTTAAGTTTGAGCCCATACTTCTTGCATCTGTAACTTGTAACAGAAAACATAAAAGGAACGATGCATCAGACCATATATTTCACTTAGGCATGGCTGAATGATAAAATAACACTGAAACCTTCAACTAAATCTCAAACCAACTATTTAAGGCCTAGAGAAGATACAAGAATAGAGGAAACTGGTAGAGCCTGGGTGAAATGCACTTGGTTCTCAATGCTTGATAACACTTTCATTACCTAACTGTCTCATAACTTCTTTGACTGGCACTTCTGTTTCAGATTATCCAGAAAAAAAGGCTATGGTTTAGGTACCTCGGTAGTTTCTTTCACAGCGAACACACACAAATTACTCTGCCTTCTTTGTTTTCTGCCTTCCACCTATTTCTTATTTTCTTACATGGTCTCTTTAACCATCAAGTGGCCCCAAAGACTCTGCCGGGCTTTCTGTTCCTAAAGTGTTAGAGAAATTTATTGTTAGCTTTTCTTACACTTTTTTTGCCATCCTTTCTGTATCAAACAGATGTAGATCTTAGCCATTAAGCTGCTAGAAGCTTCCCCTGCATCGAATAAAGCTGATGCCAGCCAGCTCCAAGATGAACCCACCACTGGCCAAGGTCGAGCCACACAGTGACAGTGGTAGGGCCTCTGGGATAACATATTTAAGAAAGGGGAAAATCCAACCTGCGCAAGAGAAAACTGAAGCCGGAGAGAGGAGCGAGAATATGTGAGACAAACAACTCTGCAGAGACCCGAGTCAGTGAAGAAGGAGGGGGAGGAGGTGCTCCAGGCACTGTGGCAGAGATTCTGCTTCAGCCTGTGCTGAAGACCACGGCTGTCCCCCTGCAGCCCATAGAGGTTAACAGCAGAGCAGAGATCCACCTGCAGCCCATGGAGGACCCCATGCCAGAGCAGGTGGATGCACCTGAAGGAGGCTGTGACCCCATGGGAAGCCCATGCTGGAGCAGATTTGCTGGCAGGACTTCTGACTCCATGGGGGACTCACACTGGAACAGTCCGCTCCTGAAGGACTACCTGTCATGGAAAGGAACCTCAGTTCATGAGGAATTGCAGCCCATGGAAAGGACTTACATTGAAGAAGTCCATGGAGGACTATCTCCCATGGGAGAGACCTCATGCTGGAGCAAGAGTGTGGAGAGTCCTTCCCCTGAGGAGGAAGGAGCAGCAGAGATAATGTGTAAAGAACTGACTGCAACCTCCATTCCCCATCCCCCTGTGCCACTCGACAAGAAGGAGGGAGAGAAAACTGAGGGTGAGGTTGAGCTTGGGAAGAAGAGAGGGGTGGGAAGAGGGTGTTTTAAGATTTAGGTTTTATTGCTCATTATCTTACTCTATTTTGATTGGCAATAAATTAAATTCATTTCCCCAAGTCTGTTTTGCTTGTGATGGTAATTGCTGAACAATCTCCCTATCCTTATCTCCACCCATGAGCCTTTCATTATATTTTCTCTCCTGTGTCCAGCTGAGGAGGGAGAGTGATAAAGCAGCTTTAGCGGGCAGCTGGTGTCCAGTCAGGGTCAACCCACCACAACATTAATCTTCTGGAGCGCAAACACACAATATGATAGGTATGTTAGGTCACTGCTGTAAATCTCTAGATTGAACAAGGGAATAGCTTTTCTCTTCTGCTTTAATGCATGGAAGTCACATGTAATAGCTTTATAGCTGTAATAAATTCTTCTGTAGAAGAAGAGCAGTGAACTAATAGTCAGAAGTAGCAGCACTCAGGAAAGAGAACATTTAACAGTTTATATTTTATATTATTTTTTCACTATTTTCAAATAATAAGAATAAATTTGAAATAATTTTTCTGTTCAGGACATGTATTTTTGTAAAATGCATTTAGAAATCTGAAGAAAAAATAATCACATTGTGCATCAGGATCAAGAACATGAATGTTGTTCTAAGCCCAAGAAGGAAGTCAGTGGAGCAAACAAATTCAATGACAGTTTTGTACAACGAAGAGAAGTAACAAAGAACTGGGAACTCAGAAATCTACACTGAGATAAGAAAAACACTCTGAGAAGTGGAGACCTTCAGCTGAATTCTTCCAGTCCTGAAAGAAAGAACTCATTTGTTAGGTAATGAAAATCAAGAGATGACTCAAGGATTGATGCTGCGAGATGAGAAAATTGCATAGAGACCCTTTTTGTTTAGTGGACTTGGCAGACCCAAGCATCAAAGGAAATCATCTTGCTGAACTTTAAGATAAAAAGATTTAAATAAAAAATATTTAGAAAGATATTTTTAGCCCATATAATATCCTTGCCTCGTTCTCATACCAAGAGAAAAAACTTACAGTAACGAGGTTAAGGAGTATACAATACCAGCAGGTAGAATATCATGGAAAAAATGCTAATATTGTTGAAAGAAAAAAAGCAGTTGTAAGTGGTGAAGTCAACAAAATATCTATGCTTAGCCAAGCTAATATATATATTACATATATAACATATATTAGCTATATATAAT